CCTGGTTGGTCACCATGCCTGAGTACCATGTCTGCTGCTGTGAGAACTCAGACTTCGACTGAAAGGCCTGTTTGAAATATGGAAGACAAACCATTTCCAGACATTCACGAGACAGGCCACAGTGTATCTTTCATGCCTTTAGGGCCTTGTTGAATACTTCTTCTCTGGTTTACTTTATATGATATGATTGACATGAAATAAATCTGTGTCTGCACAGCTTTGTTGTCGACAGAAACAAAATATTTGACCAAGTACATACCAAATAGAACAGAGAGAAGATGACGTTGTGACAGTCTAGTAAAATAAGTTAGTTGACTAACTCTCCTCCATGATCACTAAAATCATACAGGTTCATACATTTCCACATCCAATATAATTATATTTTGATTAAAAATGTATTATTTTAATGAAAACCTGGGATTACTGCACACAATAACTTTGCTGTTTACAAAGAAAGTCAATGCTAGGAGGAAGAAAAAGGTACAGAAGTAGGATTGTTTGTTATATATATTAAATATATGCAAAAGGAAAGATCAGAATTTGGGCTTGAACTCCCTTTAACTGGGTGTAATGGCCAGTTGCTCTACTGGGAGCTCACCTGACTGACCATCTGATTGGCTAGACGAGCCTTCTCCAGCTCCATGGACCTCATGTCATGGTGGAAGGTGGACATAAAGCGCTCACCGTCTTCGCGATACTTCAGCTACAAGTGCATATAGACGACAAGCATTAAGCCAAGCACACATTTGCACATGCGCACACTGGACATGTGTTTACAGAATCCATTTTGGTAGCTGGATGCTATAAACACATGCATGATTCAAGAAAAAAAAAACTGTCAGCTCTGACTGATATCAACCTGACTTCAGATCCACAGAGGCAAATATCCCTCTATTCTTATGTTTGAGCTCACATGCTTAACGATGGAGGGATAATATTAGAGTTCTATTATTAATAACTGAGATGTTCTAATCAAGATGAAGCTGGACCTGCCAAGAAAGATCCAGAAATGAGCACTGAGTGATGAAACTCTGAGCTGTTTGCTAATGATCCTTAAGTTGTAAAAATGTTCAAAACTAATATTAGAATAGCCGTGTTGCAGGGGATAAGAGTGACCTCTCTGGAGCATCAGCACTGAAGGGTTAACAAGAAACATATGTGTAACAACTTTCAAAAATTTTAGTATGTTTTAATTTGTAAAAATTTACTGAAAACAAGTCAGGTAACACTAAGTAAATAATGAAAGCAAAAACTCTACGTGTTACCCAAAGTGTTCAATGGACAGTGCTGAGGGTCACTCAGCATGGTCTGAAATCAGACCTGAGATCAAATATCAACAAGTTAAGTCCCAAGGCTGTCTAGTGGCATCTAGCAGTAGCTGATGAGCTTGCTAGCCTAGAGCTAATATAAGCCGAAGAACATTGCATGAACTCGTAGACACAGACAGACACACAGACAGGCAGGAACAGGTGGCAGGGCAGAGGAGAGGAAGGGATGTGAGGCTGTTTTTCCTGACGTATAATTTTAGCCCTCTGAAGCATAAAGCGGGCTAAGCAGAGGGGGTTGTCTCTCGCCTCTGTCACATGAACAGAAATAACCTGAGCAGCACTCTCCATTCCTCACCGCTGCCGTCACCGTGGACTCAGAGCAGCCTTACACCTTTTCTCTCTCTTCCATCCGTTAAAGGAGCAATGAGACCTTTTTGATCTGACAGTAATGACGTGTCGGCTTAGGGTTGTGTGCTTTCGAATTGAATGTGTGTTTGTAGGTTAATAAATAAAATGAAGAGTCATTTGTAAGGTTACCAGTGGTTTTGTGTGCGCGAAAATATCGTTGTACTATTATATATTATTGGTATACTATTACAAATTTAGGTCTACTTAAATTAAATTGTAATGTGTGCATCAATCCCTTGATGATGATCTAAACACAACACAATGACCACCATGAATAGCATTCTCCAGTGTAAACCCAGCCATGACAACCCAATGATAAATGACCATTTCACTCATGGCATAGACAGAGACTTATGTCAGCCTGTCAACAATGCGCCCTGACTCAGATCAAGGCGAAATACTTTGTCTCGTGTTGCTGCTTGTGTGTTTTTTGTGTGTGACATCATCGTACCTCACTGCTCGCCTTGCTTTGCTTCTTCGCATTGATGTTGACGGGTGTCTCGTACACACTTGTGAATGTGTTGTTCCTTGGATTGTGTCTGGAGGGTTGAGATATAAAGGTGGTCATCATTTTAATCAAGAGTTCATGGAAACAAATGGGAAAAGGGTTGTATCTATTTTCCACACGAAAATGGCGTTTTAAGACAGATTTTTCATCCATTTTGGGGATTTTGCTCAGATAATAAGTTATAACATAAGGTATTATTGGTGCCTAGTACTTACACAGAGCAGTATGGCCTCTTCTTGTGGCTGACAAAGTTATTGGCAGTGAGCACCATCTTACAGACGTCACAGTGGAAACATGCTTTATGCCAGTTCTGAGAAAAAGACAAATTACATTATTTCAGAGGGTCCTGAAACATGACTTCAGTCTATTGTGTGGAGACAATATTTAAACTTAGAAAGGTAATTTCTGATATGACATCAGATTAATAAGATAGCTTTAATTGTACAAGGCCCAAAATAATACAAACATCATCAAACTAGACATGCTGACTTGTTCTCAAATAGTTTTTATGTGACTTTTAAACCTTTCATACTGCAGAGGTTAAAACTGAGTAATCACTTTGTTTAAAGAGAAAACTTTCTGTTGTAATGTATTATTACTAATTTAGTTTTTAGTTCAAACGTGTACTTAGAGACATAGCATATTAAAAACTTTAGATTAAGAAGAATGTCATTTTATATAAACTTTTTGTATTTTTAAACTGTAGTTTATTGGCAGATATTTGCACACTGAGCCATGTGTCGCCGCTGATGCAGAGAAATACTTGGAATAGCTTGAATGTGTAGGTTGTTTGTGTTTTTCTATAACACATTATCTATGGCAATCATCTACATCTAATGCCTCAAATATCACTAACAATTTTACACTTTGACAGATGTGTTATGTAAGAAGTTGATAGAAAAGTAATAATAAAGTTTTAAAACAATATTTCTATGTTACCTGGTCAATGCAGTTGATCTTCTCAGCTGGGTAGACCACAAACCCACACCTGGCACAGGACTGCATGGTGAATGCTTGTCCTTTTCACACAAAAAAAACCTTTAGGAAAGATATCGGAAAAAGAGAAAAAGTGTGAAATTGGCTGGCTGAAAACTAGAGTCAGGTCGGTCAGTCAGGCAGCAGTTTAGTGGAGGAACTGGCAGTGACCCCCAGACAGTCGTGATAGTGCGTCTCTGGTGGTGGTTAACTTAGCTCTGTGACAGTCAATCTTTGAAACTCTCTCTTACTTGACAACATGTCCCATGATGGACCAACCCCCTTCCATGTCAGGCTAGGGGACTGGCTGAGTCCAGCTGTCTGTCTGCAGGAAGAGAGAGAGCGAGAGAGAGTTCAGATGTCACTGTATATGTGTAATGCTCCTGAGTTGGACAGCTGGTTCAACTTTGGGCATCTCGCCAATGACACTAAGACATAAAAGTGTAATACATTGTGTAATACTTTTACTTAGTCTTACTTACCTTCATCAGCTAAGTATGTTGACACAAGCAAAGAATTTAACTCTGGTTTTTAGCGGCTCTCAATATACTAAAAAAGTGTCAAGGACGGGTGCACGGGATGAAATGTGGACATACAAGAAGAAAATATAGACATAACCACTAAACAAAGACAACAAAGTTAAGTAGACACACAGCTCCGTCCACATAAAAGAGGAATGAATTCCCAAAAAAGTCAAGGCAGCAAACTGTCTCATTAAAGTACCAAAGTTCCCGAGGATCAAAACTGTAATGAACCTAAAGAGGATGTGCCTTGACTTCTTGATTTTTTTTGTGGACATACAACAGGAGCCAGGAGCACCTGTTTAGTGTCACAACACAAAGAGATCCATAAGAGTGAATTCAGATAAATCCTCAACTATCGGTTGCAAATATCCAACTGTAATAAATATAATTTGTAAAAACTGTATCACAGGGTTTTAAATAGGTAATAACCCTGTCATACCAAAGTTAAAAAACACTCTACAATATGTTTCTCCAGGGGTAGTCAGCCAAAAGTGAGTGTGATGACCATAAAATGAGGTATTTCTTTACTCTCTCTTTCTGATGGACCAGCTGTTTTATTAAGAGTTTTTAATTGAATATATAAATGCTTTAATTGTCTATATTCTGCTCATTATATCTGTTTATCACACCTGATATGCTGAATAAGCTGTGGGGACTTTATTTAAATGTGTTTGTATATTACTGTATCAAACGTGGCAGACCTGACTTACGCAGGGCTCTGACGCAATCACGCACCACAGAGACTTAAAATCTGGACGTTACTTTCACTTTGTCAAGTTTTTCTGACGGAACTGAAACTACTGAAAACTGTGGAGAAGGAGAAACAAGCCGCAGTCAATATTTGTGTAGTAGTTACGTTGACATAGCGTAATACAGAGTGTAAGTTCATGTTAATGTATGCTAATGTGGTTAACTCAGATTTTTCTTTTGGCTAAAACTTCTATCCTAATGAGACACTCAGCTAAGTTAGCTAACTGTTGAGCTAACAAGATTTTATTTTTGGTGATGAAACTATCTCTTCATTTAGAGCTGAGCTAGCTTTGCTCATGCAACTTTAAAACTTGTTAAAAAGCAGTGTTGACGTGAAGCAGTGATGTGGAAGAAGGAAATGAAGTGAAGTTGAAGCAGTGTTATCGTTAGCCACACCGCTACAGCTGTACAGTAAGTGAAGCTATACGTGTGAATACGTGTGTTATAAGTTGCAGATGGCCGGAGAAGAGAAAGGAGGGAAGCTGAGTGGAGACGAAACAGACGCCAAACCTGACCGCAGAGGGAGATTTCTACTGTTTGGGAGGTGACTTCCTTTTATTTCTTATTGTTTTGAGTGTATTCAGTATATCCGCAGAGGGAATCCCCATACATCCATGAGGGGGAACTTATAGTTTTAGGATTTTAATTCACTTCAAATTCACTTTAGGTGATATGTTACTGTAGCTTTCACTTTCATTATTATCCTAACCAGTGTATTTAAATACAGAAGGTATATCAAAACAAGGGTTGTTCGTCAAACTATCTTATGTGGCCTAATGTGTGTTTATTTTGGTTGTGATACTTGCCATTTGTTCTGAGAAGGCTGTGTAATACCCAGATACACATTATGTGACTGTTTGCAGCTGCAAGTGTCCCCTGGACTTCTCTCTGTGATGGTTTTTTCTTCAGCCTTTCCTTCAGTATTAATTGTCTTTAGTGGCTGGGTTGTCCTTTTGTCCCCGTTTTCACCCCTGTTACTGTTCTGTTACAGTTTACTGTTTTATCCTTCGATTTGTTTTCTAATTTCTCGTATTATAATTGCACATTTTGCTCCTAAATAAACTAAATGTTCACGGACATGCATATTTATTTACTAGACCAGTTACACAATGAAACACACAACTATGCACTTTCAGTAAGACTGTGAATTCTTTGTTGCATGTCAGTGGCATTGGTTCCTCTTAAGCCTTAGCTAATCAAAACTTTAAAATTAAAATTATGAAATGTATACCCTTGATTTGACACAGCAACCCAGTTTTGGACAGCCTAATTAGTGTAATAGGGTAGGGCACGTGAAAGCAATCTTAAAAACTCAATTTTGGGACTGATGTCAGTCCTCAAGTGGCTGCTCAAAATTAGGCTGTACTGCAGTCAATCGTGGATATGTGAACTGAGTATGATATCATGGAGTTCAGGCCCTTTCACAATGGCTTGTGTCTCACTTTGTCTTTATTAAAGTGTGACCAAGGCATCGCTGACTTACATGAGTGACTATCCTCTGTTTATTCCAGTCTGACTCACAAGGTGGCACTGTGAACCTTTGCAGTGGGGGAACATTTTGGTTTCTCCCAGACACTGGTAATCAAACACAAAGCCTGTGTGCGCTGTGTGCCATTTAGATTTTTTCCCCCAAACTTTCATGATAGAAATTCACTTTTTTTTTTTAGCTTTAAAAAACAATAAAGCATCCAAATTAGATTTCAACAAATAAAAATACCTAAAACAGGCTGAAATGTTTAAATACAGACTATGACATAGTTAAGAAATTAGCATGCATGTAATGTGTAAATGATATATGCCTAATGGTGTTGAATGGTATGTGTTTTTCAATAACCACTTGACTGACCTGGACCTGATAGCAAAGACCATATTTAGAAGTATTACATTTAACTGAAACTACCTTATCTACAGTACAAGTGTGTGTCTTTTTCTTTGAAAGAAGGCATGATCAAAGAGATCAACTTATGATGCCTCTTAAGTCATGCCGGTCATGTGTAAAAGAATTGTGTCATAAAGCTTGTAAGGATAATATTATTTATTATTTATTTTCTTAGTAATTCATTATTGTCTTGCGCATCCAAATCTAAAGGTGAGGCGATCAGGTATGTATGTCGGTACAGGTGGATTCTGTACCTGTCAGCAGAGGAGCAACTTGTTGCCCTGTCTGACCTCAGCAGGGAGCGAGGCGCAGGGGCCATGTGTGAATAGGCCTTTAGAAAGCACTGGTGTGGTGGCGAGGCTGCTGACTCAGGGGGCTCACAGTGCACCGCCCCTGTCCTCAGCACCTGCTGGCCCAGTCAGGTGTCCATCCAGTACAGAGAGCATGTCAACATCCTAGCACACAGCCAAAAATTAAGCTGCCAGGTCTGGAGAAACTTACTCTTTTGGGGGGAAAAAAGAAACGAGACAGAACCAACGCATTTCAGATGCAGAGTGGCGTAGCGCTTAATGACGAACCCAGGTAAGAGAGATATAACCAACCTCATATTCCTCTTCACTGTCCTCCTACCTGCTCCTCTTTCTGCCATGCCCAGCCCACGGCAAAACAGAGTTGCAGCTCTTTGCCCACGCTCGCGCAATTGTTTGGTACTGTATGTTAGCACAATTTGGAGGGGGGAGGGGGGCTTCCAAAAGTTCTGGATCACATGTTTATTAGAATATGGCTGGGCTGGCTGTGAGTGTATGTGCATGAGACTGTTAGTGCACATTGCTGTGTATTGTTCCTGTGCTTGAGTAAGTTGATGACTAGGCTCTTCTGGAACAAGCCTGGATTTTCTGAGCCCCCCATGGGCCAATGTTGGCTTAGCTAGCTGGATGGATCTTTTGAAGAATGGAAATATGACAGGTCTGTGAGAATTGCCACTCATGGAAGATTTCCTCGCGCTCAATCTACATTGATGTGCTTATGATTTTCTAATATCTGCGCTACGCAACAATGTTCTAGTTTCTTCTTTAACCCGATGGTGGATTACTGCGACCAAATTTGGCTGTGACATTAATGCCTTATTTGACAATGTATGTACTCTTTGATTTCTGAGTAAGTGGTTCAGAGTGTTTTCAGTTTCATACGAGTTTTCCTTGCATTGGAAGTCTTGCCATTTGATTATGTTGAAGGAACCGTTATGTGTAGAAACATTTTGGCTTAAAAGACACCATCATGTTCAGTAAGAGTAAAGAATATTTTCTAGAAAACTTTTCATTTGCAAGATGGTGCTCTGTAAGGTAAGAATTAACATTATGGATGTTTTAACTGTGCTAATGGGCCTAATTGAAGATGTTTTCTAAATTATAGCATCTAAAAGTTTTGGTGTGGGTGTGTAAATTCAATGTCTTGTGCGTTTGTTATCCCTAAATTCATTGTTATTTTCCTTTCTATTACTACTCTTATTTATATGCTTGTTGTTGTTGTATTTTTTTGTGTAAGGTCTTAAAGACAGTAATGTAAAAGTATCCACACAAGGAGCAGTCTTTGAAAAGATCGGCTGACCTTAAAGATTTTGCATTACGTACAGCTCAACAGTAAATTATTAAAAGTTAAAAGTTTTTATTTTTAACAATTTTACCATGATGTGTTCAACTGTCCTTAATATTCTGTTTCTCTCTGACTCCATTAGTAAGAAGAATAAGGATGGCCAGACGCGGGAGCAGGACTACTCCTCTGAAAGCCATTACAGAATTGTTTCACCAACATTCCAGTATAAGATGAGCCACCAGCGAGTGGGCAAGTGTATCATCATCAACAACAAAAACTTTGATGAGAAGACAGGTATGGCAAACATGTTTTAAACACACTGTACACCTAATTCAATTTTGCTCAATATTATTGTGTATTCTAAGAAGATTATCTTGATAGGGATGAATGTACGCAATGGCACAGACCGAGACGCGGGTGAGCTGTTCAAATGCTTCAAGAGCCTGGGCTTCGATGTCTTCATCTACAACGATCAGACATGTGAGAAGATGGAGCGTCTTCTCAGAGAGGGTGAGTAGTGAAGCCCTCTGTCTTTCTGTGTTAGTGCCCAAGACACGTGTCACTAACTAACTAACAATATATACAGAAACCTCTTGGAAACGCCATGGAAGATTTTTCTGGATGCTGCTATGGTAGTTCCTAAATGGAGGACAGGTTTTTTTGCCTTATACAATCATACTATCTAGTCATGCCTTAAAAATCTAGCCAAAACAAATGCAGTCTATTTCACCAGTCCTGCATTGAATTCTACCTCCTTGAAGGTTGTGATGTGAGAGAGGTGTTGATTCAACTTTGTGGTCATGTTAAAGGCTCTAGTTTGTGCTGTTGTAAATTTGTATTGTGTTACATTGAGAGATGTTACAAATATTTAGCCTACTCACAGTAGCTGTTGTTACATTTACAATTTTTTTTCATTCTGATTGAAATCATTCCAATTGAAGATTAGGGGTCAACTGTTTGTAAGGGATGTAATCTAATACGGTCTGGTGTTCACACTTGCTGACGCATTTAATCTGAACAGCTGTGTGACATGAGCAAAAATTTGGAAAACGTCATGCATTTGTCTTCGTTAGTGGCTACCATTTGAGGTCTATGAAAGCCGGGGCTTTGTTCATATTTTGGGGACTTGTTTCAATAGGTCATTATTTCTTATTTTCCTACCGTATAAGCATCCAATAGTTTGTATCAAAAACTCAGGTCAGCTCTCCGCAGAGGTCCAGTTCAGCTTGGAAGCTGTCATTTTAGTAATCAGGTTAAATCACAGTACATGGTGTCATTTTTCTTTTGATTGGTTTATGAAACCATTAGAAACTTTGGTATTAAAAAACGGTTTGGACCTGTTTAGTCTAATTGAGGTGTTTATATGGAGCAATTTTATTCTGTTTTGCAAAACAAACACCTCTCAGTATAACAATAGAATTCAGCATCACCACAAACTACAGTCACCACAAATTGAATCAACACCTCTATAAAACGACAAAAACATTCTTACCTTTATGATACTGATATGATATTTATTGCAGGACTGTTGGATTTGACTCACTTTTATCTGTACCTAATAAAATGGCAACTGAGTGTAAGGACATAATAGTTTTAAGGTAGGTCATAAAGAACGCTAGATAGACATCTTTATATTTTGCAAACAGGTTTACTGTAGATAACAGATTTGTTATCAGCCCTACCAGATTTATTAGTTTTCATATACAGTACAGCTATCTGCTAGTGAAATTGATTCTCCTTTAAGTTGCAGTGTGATCTGCATGCACAAGTTCATATTCCAGACTCTTCATGACTGGCATAGTGTGTTTGTTTCTTAAAACTGCCAGGTCAGCAGGTGGTGCTGTTGCAAAGGTAATCACATAAATCTGTCTGAAGTGGCCGCCAATGTGGCCAAAAGGTTAATACCTTTGGTGTCACTGGTCACTGCCACCAGCTAGATTCAGTAGACGATGTACAAGTACAGTACAAACCCTCATATGCACTTGAGAACACCAATTCATTTTCTTGTTTATTATGATATAATATGACATTTTACTGGCTGCTATTGTATTAGGCTACACACATTTTGTCCAGGCCAGTGAGGCCTGGCAATGATAGTCGGACAGTTTCTTTTTCAGGTCAGACGGTCGATTCAACACTGCATCCAAAGCAAGGTTCCTTTACAACTACAGGATGTGAAATTTGGTATAGCTATTCATGGTCCCCTCCGATTGTTTTTGGTGACCCCTTGACCTTTCCTCTCGTATCAATATTGGGCCAAAATTTCCCATTAGTACACAAGAAATTTAAAACTCAAACACTGTTTGTGTTGCCTCGCGGATGATCAATTCCCTTTAGTACAACCCTCTGGTTAACATTCAGCTTTGTAGAAAGTCTGCGGTGGAATTTGCTCAGCGCGCTCATGCTCCTAAAGGGATGAACACAGCTATGTGTTTGGGTCAAACAATATGCTGAAGGGTATAAAGTCATTATATTCCTCTGAGGAAACTATCTAGAGGCTGTATATTGTAAACTCTTACTGTAATATTTGAAGATACTTAATAGTAACTAATTTTCACCATTACTAAAAATGTATATTACTAAAAAGGTTTCAAATTCTTCAAAAATCTAGATGAATGAATAAAGGGCTAAATAAACTCCAGACTGAACGATTAAGTTACTGATATTGCTCACTAATTTAGACGTTTAATGAGGCCTGAGCCGAGCTAAGAGTTGAGTGTTTGTCTGTGTGTGTATGGGTCAGCCTCGGAGGAAGACCATAGTGACAGCTCGTGTTTCGCCTGTATCCTGCTAAGCCATGGTGAGGAGGGCATGATCTACGGAACAGACGGAGCCATGCCCATCAAGACCATGACCTCATTGTTCAGGGGGGACATGTGCAAAAGCTTAGTCGGGAAGCCAAAACTCTTCTTCATCCAGGTACGAAGTTCTGAAGACTTTAATGTGTAGATTGCGGTGTGATTATGTAAATGTACATGTAATAATGTTATAGTTGCTAATTTACTTACATATTTGTGCCAAGTTCACCACTTTTGAGCCAAACGATCAACCTTGGGGTTGAATGGAATTTTCTTTTAACTTTAACAAGTTAAATGTTGATGATTGGAAAAGAAAGATTAAAATGTCTTTCAGTAGCTCCCCACGGACAGATGTTAGTTATTGTGTAAAATATTGCCCATCTCAGCTTTTAAAAACAGTTAATTTTTAATTGCTTCACCAGGTCATCGTTGAGAAAGCTACTCAGGATCACAATGAAATGTCATTTCATTTACTTCACCAGGCTTGTCGGGGTTCCGAATTTGATGATGGTATACAGACAGATTCAGGTCCGCCAAACGATACCCTGGAGACAGACGCTAATCCAAGACATAAGATCCCTGTAGAGGCAGATTTCCTGTTTGCCTACTCCACTGTGCCAGGTAAACTACAGTTTACTCATGAAGTAAAAGCATTTTGGCTATCTTTAACATTCCTATGCTGGATGTATCAGTGAGCAGAAACTTCAGAGACACGTTTCAGAGCTGACTCATGTTGATTTTCCAGGGTATTACTCATGGAGAAACCCTGGGCGCGGCTCCTGGTTTGTCCAGGCGCTTTGCAACGTCCTCAACGAGTTTGGCAAGCAGCTGGAGATAATGCAGATCCTGACACGGGTCAACTACATGGTGGCCACCAGCTTTGAGTCGTGGTCTGAAGACCCACGCTTCAGTGAGAAGAAGCAGATTCCCTGCGTGGTCTCTATGCTGACGAAAGAACTGTATTTCAACTGACCGCAGCCTAACTGACTGTACTGTCTGAAACCATATGACACATGACTGACTGACTGACTGACTGACTGACTGTTTCAGGTACCGACTAACTGGTCAAAGCATTCAGGGATGATTCAGGCCCAGCAGGACATATGATATTTGCATGTGTAGTTGGGCCCGAAAACAAGCACTCCATGAGAAAAAAAAATATTTACAGTGGCACTCCTCGTTCATGTGTTGATGGTGAAACTTCTTCTTCTTCTTCAGGTTATTCTTCAGAATAATGGCGTCACATTTGATCTGATCTTTTTTTGACAGGCCTTGTGAAATATCCATGTTATTCTACCAGCCCGGAAAATTTGCTGCCAGTTTTTGTGGGTCTGGGGAATCATATCTGAATATGTGTCGCTCCATTTTCCCGCATTTGCAATGGATGTTAAAAGGAACTGTATTGAGTGGACAGGAGCCTTCGGGTGAAATTTGGCTCTAGCATTTATTACATGTAATGGGTTCCGAATAACTTGAGAAACACACCATAAACCTGTCTAATGCAGTCCACTGCATTTGTACAGTGTACAATCCTGGAAACCAGGTGAAAGATGTTTCAAAAGCTTTTTATTAACCACTTATTGTTTTGATTGATCTAATTTTACAAAGCTACTTTACAAAAACAATGTAAGCGAATGTTCTTTGAAATGCACTAGTCAGTCTACAGAAATCCCTATTAGCAAACTGAATAGAGTGATTACAAACACTTTGATTGCCATCGGAGAGCTCAGGGAGCTGCCCTAATTACAAACCCTGGCCGATGCATTGTTAGAGGGGGAAAAAGCATCCGGGAAATGGATCAGAGCATTTTCAGCTATCTGTGTTTTAATGTTTTCAGCTGTCAATTGTCAGAAAAAGCTACAAAAGAAAAAGACAACTCTCCTCTGAGCAGAAATGTGACGGTGCTTTTTGCCAAAGGCTCAGTGTCTCAGCCTTCCTAGCAAGTTTAAGTCGGTAGCGGCATGCTGGCATCCTCAGGTTCTTTAATGTCCCGCATAGTGGGTAAATGTCGTGTTAAAGAATGTCATATTCTGTTTGCTAGGAAGGTGTGTTCTTTTGCTGTGTAGTGATTAGTTCTATGAGATTTTGGGTCAAGTGTGTTGTATATAGTCCACTCCTATAAAAGCAAGGATTATTTGCAATTTGCCCAGTTTTCTCAGCGTGATGTTGAAGACTTCACTTGCTTGTTGTTCAACCCAGAGTAAGCGGAGTTCATGTATTTGCACAAGATCAAAATTACGCACTTGTCGTATTAGTCAGGGTCCAACAAATCAGTATTTGAATTTCCCTTATTTCATCTTTAAAGTTAGACATTCCTCTTTAATACCTGTAATAGATAATAAGATACATGCTGAAGGACTTTTACACAGAAAGAGAACCTTAGAATGTCAAAAACTGTGTCATAAGTTTGGGAAATATCATAGTGTAAAGCTGGGCCCAAAGCACAAATGCCACATCATTTCACTGTATATTAGTGTTGTACATTGTCATAACATACACTACAGTCTAATGAGGTACCCAGCAAGGTCTTCCTAGTTATATTTGTAAAGTTGATCTTTGATTTAGAAAGATTTAAAAGCCCAAATTGTAAAGAAATAAAAAAAGATAATTTGCTTTTATACAATATTTTAAAGCACATAGTGCACCATACCAAGTTTTTAATTTAGTAAATGAATTCAGTTATATGGTCAAATCTAAAATATATATTTTTAATATAATAGACATTTGCTGATGGTCATTACAACTTACACAAAGTTTGTTTCTAAAAATGTGCTGTGTCATTGTCCCAAAGTCTGTCAATCACAGAGGCAGCTATTACTGGTGGTGACAAGTCTGAACATACACAATCCACAATGTTTTTACATTATTCCCATGATTGCATGTGTCAGTAACCTAGGGGAAAACTTCAGCAATATGTGTAGTTATACTTTACTCTTCACTCCTTTTTTTTTTTTTACACTTTTACATAATATTTATAGTTACCAGAAGTGTGATCACTACTGGCTTCGGTTAGAGACGTGTCCCATTCTACATCCAGTGCACTTGTCCAATACAGCCACAACTCTTGAATCCTTTCAACACATGGATCTCTGATCAGTGATGTGGTGCCCAACCTGTGCTGAAAGGAGTGTTTGCTCCACTTGTTTTGGAATGGAACTGAAGGAGGGGAAAAATAATCTTTAGGGATAAAATTTTAAATGCTTTCCGGTGTTAAATGCTGTTGTCCTCAGGAATATATTTGAAAAGATTTGGAAAAATGAATGAATGAATTATATTGAAAGTATAATCTGGCCCATTTTTTTATTTTATTTGGGGCAATACCTTGTTGAAATAACTTCAAAACAGAGGAATGCTTATATAAACATCTTATGTATTAAACATGAAGAATTTATTCTGTAATGAGTTGTGTGTCATTTTTCTTGCACATCTGTAAACACAAAGGCTGCTGTTTTTTCTAAGACAAGGACAATGTCTGTAAAATGCCAAAGAATACAATTAAAGGATAAGGTTGGTAATATTCTATTATTTTTTGTCATTGTCAACAAATATCCCAAAAAGACAAAAACCAACAATGAATTGATGTTACTGTATGTCAAGTGTGTCTGTGTAGCTAAAGCCTGATAAAGCCTATTCCTCTGTGAAATACAGCTCTATTTTTGTCTAAAAACTATTAAAACATATCAGTGAGCCACATTATTACACTGACTAACATGTTGCGTCATTATTATAAATATGGGCACCGCTGTTCATTTTAAGTTGCATATACACTATCTTGCAATCAATTACTGTGGATTTATATCAACTGTGTATAATTCTACAGCTGTAAATAGTCCCCAACAAATGTCCTATTTACCACTGCATAACATTTGATAAAAACTACAGTGTCCAGCTGTTGTAGGATATAAACTCTAAAAGAATAAAGGTCCATTGTGTAATATTTAGGAGGACCTATTGGCAGAAACGGAATATAATAAAAAAGGGTTTTCATTGGTGTATAATCACCAGAAAATAAAAATGATTGTGTTTTTGTTTCCTTAGAATGAGACATTTTTATCTACAGTGGGAGTGGGTCCCCTTCCACAGAGACCACCATGTTTCTACAGTAGCCCAGAAGGGACGAACTAAACACTGGCTCTAGATCGAGCCTTCCACATTTATTGCGAGTTTTGCTGTTTCACCTACATGGTTGGACGGCTGAGCTGTATTCAAATAGTTCCAATCTGCCACTTCACTGCTAGATGCCACCAAATCCTACACACAGGTCCTTTATAGATTTCCATTTTTAATAAGCACTTATGGGCTTGGGTTGAGAGCCACAGACAACTACAGAAGGTCAAAAAGAGGTGGACTAACACATTTCTGGTCTTGGTATTTTCATTGGATTAGCTGACAAAAAATACAAACATAATGTCCCCATTATTGTCCTTGAATTAATGGTAGACAAATCCAGCTTGAAATTGATTGAGTGTTAAGAAGCAGACCAAATTAAAGGTTATTTATTATCGTTTCTTAATTTAATTCTCTTTCTTGGCCACCTAAGCTTCTGTCTTTTGAAGTTCCTCATCTGGATATTCTGATTCAACACAGCATTAAAAATAAACTTTTAAAAATAGATGCACTGCAACAGAATGAAGAACAGCCCTGTCGTCATGTTAGCTTTGGTGTGTCCACTATAAAGAAAAACATCAATGACTTGAAATGAATTACACCACCTGTAAATCTAAAATAGAGACACCCTCTAAATATTCCTTTAGGCAAATTTAGACTAGCCTGACATGCACAGCATCTAGAGTTGATGTCAGAAGTTAAGAATGTCAGATCAGGCAGCTGATGCACATACCCAACAGGGCAACACATTCCTGACCATTTCTGCCCCATCCTTCCTGTCTCACCTCAGAGAACAGGAGCGGATCGGGAGGCATCACAGATCTTAAGGGACTTCCAGTTTGTTCCTTCGTTGTCGTGGCCAGGACATAATGCTTGATGTAGGGTATCAGTGAAGGTCCCAGCGCAGAAGCAGTGGAGCGGAGTCATATTATCAGCTCCCAGAAAGCACACCAAACCTCCAGGGAAGCTGCAGTACACCCCGATGCGAGTAAACTGTTTTCCTGCCACCAATGGCAACTCATGCTGGACTCCACCATGCCAGGCTGTGTAGTCTCCATTAAAGTATTCCACACACCAAGACTCTTTGCCTCGGCCCAGCCAGGAGTCCTCCTCACGGCCCTTGCGCGGGATGCTTGGGTAGGTGAGCCCCAGCTCCCAGTAAGTCTTCCCACTCACCTCCACCTCCCAGTACTGGCGGCCCTCGTTGAAGCCTTGCTGGCTGACTACATTTAGGGTGGTGTCAAAGCGGGAGGGAGTCTCTGGAACATCCTGCCAGGTGTCTGTGTAAGTGGCTGAGTCGCCTTTGGGAGAGATTATCAGCTTGGGGTGGGCAGTGTCTGCGTCAAGGACAACATCTGCAGCATCTGTGTAAGACACATCAGAAACATTCAGTGTTCTCCCCAAGAGACAAACACTTGACACGAATGTCCTAATTGACAGTAATTGTAACCCTTTACATAGCTAGGAGCAAGACTCCTTCCCATGTCAATCTACCTGCCTTTTGGGTGAACTCACAGCTCTGAAACAGTTTCTTGGTGACAGGGACCTGGGATCTGATGAACAGCAGCAGGTTGATGGTAAGACTCAGTAGTTGTTCATTCTTGAACTCATCCATCTGAATCAGGTCAGGGTCAGTCATCTTCAGAGTCTTAGATATTCTAATTTCAGACAAAACAAAGTGTTGATACCTCTTGCAGAACCTCAAACAATTGAAAATTGACTACTTTTTGATTACTTTTTGAAGGAATAATAACCCATGATGTGACAACTATAAATTCACACAGTATATTTAAAGGCCAATAACACTTGGAAGAGAAATTTAAAAAAAATCAAACAGTGAGAAATACAGATCATGATACAGTAATAGTGCTATACATTGCATACATGTTGCATTAAATAATTTTTAAAAAAATGTGAGAAATAATTTAATAAGCACTGAATTTAATAGCAATTTGTGGGTTGAGAATGATCATTCTTTCTCTAAAAAGTGTTAGTTTGTCCTTCTGATGGACAAGGAAGTGTTGTCCATCAAAATAATATGTCTTTACTTTCCAGTAAAGGGAAACTTTCTACGAGCGGTAAATACTGTGCACTAGATAACCGGTAAATTACGCAATTTGAATTTCAGAAAATGATTCTATCTGTCAAGAGAAAAATGTTTGGTATGTTTTGGTAGCTTCTATTATGACTTCCTACTGTATGTGTTTTACCTATCAGTATATTTACCTCACATAAAAAGAATGAAATGTGAACACACCTTTTTTCTGTTTCTGCATTCTGTGGAAGATAGAAAAAGAATACATAATTACTGCTTGAGGCAAGTAAAACTAATTATATTTCAAATAAGTTGCATGAAATCAGAACTTTTGAAAGTCTTTGCGTTTACCTGATTGTCAGTTTCTTGTGTTTTCACTAGGGCACCAATGTTGGACAGTTCCTGGTTCAGTTCCTGAGTGAGGTGGTAGCAGTCTTCTATCCTGTCCTCCACTAACTTCTCTGTGGCCTCGTGCTCCGTGTCCAGCTGGGTCAGTGTGATCCGAAGATCCTCATCAAGAACCCGCTTCATGTCCTCGTACTTTTTCCTGATTTTCTCCTTCACAGCGTTGGTCTTTTTCTGAGGTGTAAGGACACATAAAAAGTTAAAGAACGCATTCAGTTACAATGTTGTGGGCAGCGCATGCAAACAATAAGCAGCGGACAACTATTTCACCCTTTTTCAGGGATGCATGGTACTGAATTAAATGTACATTAAATGTACATGGTAGTGAATTAAAGTCTTTACTGGTACCTGGGAAATACTGTTGTTAATACATGTTTGTATATTCTCTGATAGCTCTTAATGTATAGTCTGGCTTACATTTTGCTTGATCAGCAGTTCAAAACTCCAAAGAATCAATTTACTATTGCGTATGATGAAGAAAAAGCACAAATACTCAGAATTAAAAGGAAAATTCAATTAAAAATAAATGTTCTATCAAAAGACTTATCGATTAATTGACTTTTATCAATTCAGGTCTAGAACACAGTTTGTTGGACCCAAATGCAACAGTTAAAGTATCTACAAAATGAGTTTTCATGCGGTACAGAGTCTACAGAGTACAATAAACAAGAACAAGCCCGTTCTATGTGACAAAATGCTTTTTGTACGGAAAAGCACAGCAAAATGGCAAGCTAGGAAGACCACAACAATCCAAGAGTCGGGCAGGATAACAGAGCTCTTCAAAAGTGCCTTTCAGAATTCCTAACCCATTTAACCTTGAATGTGCTACAGCAGCACAAGGACATACTCTATGTTCCACCACTGTTAGCTAAAATCAAGTGGATAAGGCACTCAAAAAACGAAACAAGCAATAAAAAAGCATGAGCCTACAAATTCTGGCCGCATTGTGACTTTAGGAATATGACTCTTAGGATGTTTTGGAACATATTGCTCACAGACACTTATGGAACAACATGGACTTTTCTTTGTTGATTTAATACACAAAAATTCAGACTGTTCCAGCCAGCCTTTATTACATCTTATTTTGTATATAGAGGGTATAGAGAGACAAGTATAGAGACTAAAGCTCGGAAAATCAAAATTTCTACCATGTTGTCCCACCATGTCACATTATAATTATGAGGATGCAGGCGTCGCTAGCCTGCAGTATAATATCCAAAAGAAGGTCAGAAATTATTAAGTAATGACAGATGTTAGCAAGTAGTTGTACTGTATAGTATTTCTATTTACAGCACAGAAGAGTAGTTAAACAATATAATAGACTTACTGTTATCTCCACCTTCTTAGCTGCCAGGTTCTTCATCCTGTAGGCAATGACATCTCTTTGTCTCTGCAGGTGCTGTTGATGTTTCCGAAGCAGTTCCTTTGAAACACACAGAGGCAGAAAACATGAAGAAAGTCAAAAAAAAAAAAAAAAATCATGAACCACAGGTAAAAGGAACAAAAACTAACGGGGTCGACAGCGTTATTGACTTTTCTTCTCAAAAAGAAACCAATATAGAAGCTTACTTCATTTGTGGCCTTCCCTCCTACCTTACTATTCATTTTCTGTATAGCGGGGCAGATTAAACTCCACTAACCAGTGACAACTCAAGCATGAGGACTTTTATAGGCCTGTCGCAGACGTGAAGGCTTTTTTGTTGGGGAGGGGGGAGAACAGGGTGGCCTTGCAATATCTGTCCTGGTGCTCTTGCAAGCATGTGCCTTGATTTATGAAGGAGAGGACATGAATCTAAACTTTGAAGACAAGAACACGGTTTTTCAGATAGTGAAGGGCAAACGGATGGGCAAAGACTTGAGGAAGAGTTATTCCATGTCCTACTAAACAAGAAGCCCATAAGAGATCTATTTATATCGACCTGACACTGACCTTGATGTACTGTATGTGTGCGCTTGTGGCCTATATGCACACTTGAGGAAGTTTATGAGACATTGTAACTCATGGAGAGTTCACACAAAGTGCTTTTTCACAAATATATCGAGGACACAGAGTAATTAAAGTGCATGTTGCATCTTCAGCCAGAGACAGTTAAATTAGTCTCCATCAGTGCCTGTTTAAAATGCTTGCCATAACCCTTATGACCTTTTACATGCATAGCACAAATGCCCCGCGCATATGTACAAGCAGGGGGACGTCAAATGCACCACACATACTACCACTCGAATCTACCTCTGAGAACCCGACTGACCACGTCTCCTGGTCCCTGTTATCCTGACATATGTCTCAGCAGAGGACATGTAAAAAAAAGTGTCACAGCACTGCACTCCGTCTGAGTGCTACATCGACTAGCTCAGACATCGCTCAGACTTACATGCCTAACTAACTGAAAGAGCCACTTTAGAGAGATATTTGTCTTAGATTATGTGATCTCCAGAATCTTCTATCAGAAACCTCTCTTGTCTTTTAACTACATGCCTGCATACTGCCAACCTCTACTACTTCTAACAAGGCATGTGCTCCAACTTCTGAATATTGACCTTGCTATGAACATATTGGTTACACTTTACTTTAAAACCCGCTGTTTAGCACTTTACAAACATTTAATAAATGTTTTATAATATGCTATAATGTAGTTGTAATCATTTATTAAAGATTTTTTCAAAAACTCAGTAGAGGTTGAGCTAAAACAGCTAATGAATGGCAATATCGTAAGTCACATGTTTAATATGATCAAATATGACTTCATGGGAGAATTTATAATTGTTGACAAATACTCTATTAATAAACACTTAAAATATACTTTATAGTGTGTAATAAACAATTTATTAAATGTTTGTATAGAGCTTATGTTGACCTGACCTGTCCCTGAACACAATCAGGATCTCCTTTCTTACACCAGTTTACTGGCTTGCTATACATTAGCTACGTTCATCAGTCTTCATGAGATACCCACCTTTAAATCATCCGATGTCACAAGTTGGCATCAATCTTTCCCTTTGTCTCCAGAGTTCTTGAATATGCATCAAATTGGACCCCAGTCAATTTAACTTTATTTCACTCTTGTAAAACTCAAAAAAAAAAAAACAGCCCAACAGTGTGCATGAATATTTGTGTTTTTAAAAAAACTCTTCAAGTCAGAACTTCAAATCTCTCAAAGATAAGACATTCCGATGCCTGATCATGCCATCTTATTTTTTTGTCAAAAAAGGGGGGACAAGCTCCTTAAGGAACCCTGCGTGGAATTCTGCAGCTCAACAATACAGCGGGTAGACCTTAAAAGCAACTCAAGCGAGAAACCAGAAACTCCAGTTCCCAGTATGAACACCTTGTTGCTATTTGTAAGTAGAGAAACATCCAGCTTCCTCATGCAGCCTCACTTACTGTTAGGAGGTCAAGGTGAGAGAACAGGTGAGAGCACTATGGGTTTGTTTTGTGTATTTAGTAAGTTGTGTGGTAGTAGTATTAATTTGTGTCTGTTTTTTAGTTTTATGATGATACAAAATTAAATATGCATCCACTAACCGATACATGTTTGGTTCTGTCTTTACTGAGTGTTAAACTGTGTTAACAACAGGTATAAAGAGAATATTCTTGAGTTTTAACATTACTCAGAGGCTGTATGTATATTCCTATTTATTTTCTCATTACAGCGGATATGCCTTTTTCTCTCACATGCACCTTCATGTGGGTTCTGTTTGTGAATACAGCTCTATTTCATGCTCTGCTTTTCACTGAGGCATCAGTCTATTTTTAAACCCTACGTTGTTTGTTTAAAAGGTTAACTATTTCCTTGTGGGTATTTATTTCTGATTGAAGAGACAGAGACTGAAATATCCATATTGTTATTTTTGTCCAGGTGTGGTGTCACAATGCATAAGAGCCAAAAGAACGCAGGTAGTGTATCACATCTTATTTATTTTTTTATTCATGGTTTATGGTTTATGGTTTGATTTAGGTGATACCAAAAATTAGTTTTTTAAAGTTAAAAGATTAGTTTGACAGGGAAACCTGGAATATGCTCATGTACACAGACAATGCGCAGTCGTAGTCACTTAGTCCTTGTTTAAACTGCTTTTTCCCCGTGTTTATTCTCTCTTGATAAATCCTTTGCTGTTTTTTCCTACTAGCACCTACAGGAAAATACAGTAGATTTCTTTTGACAAAGGTACAAAACAATAGGCTTTTCTTTTGCCCTCAGGCGGAAGTACAGTGTTCTACAGACCAGCTATAATTACAACAGAAATAAGATCCGGTTACCTTTACAAGTCTCCTCCTCCTAAACGGTTGAACACAGAGGTAAGAGTTGGTTCAGTGGATGCACTGTATTTGCAGCTCTTGCTCGTGTGTGTGTTTTTTTTAATTACATTTCATTGTTTATTTCATGATGTTTCTCTTGCAGAAATCATGGAAGAAGCGGTATTTTGTGCTGTTCAAAATCAGTGAACAAGAACATCACCTGAAGTACTTTAGGAGTCCAGAGGAAAAGGAGAGGCCGCTCGGAGGGATAGACTTATCACAGTATGTTTGTTGTTTGTGACCACAAAGCACATAAACCAACATTTTTGAGTTTTCCCTTTTTTAATTTATACAATTCACCAAATCTATTATTAAATTATAATGAATTTAATGTATTTAACGAATTATGAAATGATGCAGTTATACAAGCTTTGTTTTTGAGTGTAGAACCATTCTAGTACTAAATGTTGTTTTTTTTCCCCAACATCATCAGTCATCATTTGTGTCCCTCTGTTAGCATCTCACTGTTGTACGTGAGCCCTCAAAACCACCCAAGATGGGCATGGGTCCAGAAGTGCTTAAAGTGCTCTCCATCCTGCGTGCTCTACGTCAGGGCTGCTGACCGGGACTACTTTCTCGTCGGGGATAACAGGTCAGTCAGCTGGTTTTTACAGGTGATATAAAGCACTGAGAAGATTTATAGCTTATTTGCCAATTTCCATGCAATTTACTACACTGTACTGTAAAAGCTCCACACTCAAGATAGATACTATTCTACAAAAACACTTAAATAAGTGATAAACAATTAGAGATGTGCTTGTGTTGGGATTTTATGGTTGTGTGGGGATGAAGAATGTCTAAAAAACCTTATCTAAAATCTTAAGTAACAGCCGTTATCAGTTCTCTGTACAGGTTGTCTGTATTTCTCAAAGAACAAGTCACTAACCATTTTGCTCTAACCAATTTTTAGTGCAGCCTGTTAAAATTTTATGAATTAGAGTTTGGTTTTAGATTTTGTAATGGCTGTGTGCAGATAAACAGTCCCTGATACATGCTCTGCATTAAGTCTGTGATGGAGTAATCAACATTCAGGCCACAGCTGAGTTGGCCAATCCGCCTCTCAAGGCCCCCTCTGACACTTTCACAGTGCCTCATAAAACACTTCCCCCTGCCCTTCACACCATCTACTATTTTGGGAGTTATAACAATCAAAAAGAAATTACGCTGTTGCTTTCCTGTTTAGTAACAGTGTGTCAGCTGATAATGACTTTCATTCCACTCAGCTCACACCAATTTGTTGCTACATTTCATTATTTCCACTTTATATTTGGGTTTTGGAATTGAATTTTAAAGTAAATGTAATAGCCATCATTTGTGGAGTCCAAAAATTGGGTTTTTAAGTGTTTCATAATGCCCCTCTTGCTTTCAGCGAGGAAGTGGACGGCTGGTTCGGTGACCTGTTTGACGCCCTGAAAAACCGGCCACATAAATTTATAAATTCAGAGGTACATTTAGGTTTGAGTTTGTCCGTATGTATTGTAACAGCTTATGGAGAGCAAGCATCTAAGATAATTGTTTACCATCTATGTCACTGTCACTGACAATCTTTTTTCCTGCTAAAGGAAATGACCAATGGGCGGCCAATAATCGAGGTAAATATTTAAAGTCTGTTCCTCATCTGTTGATCATAAACCACCTTAAAGAGTTAGGTGAGGAGATCGATGCCACTCTCATGTAAGTATGATAAATATGTAGCTGGAGCCAACAGCTAGTTAGCTTAGCTTAGCTTAGCTTAGCTTAGCACAAAGACTGGAAACCTTTTAACAGAGCCAAGCTAGCTCTTTCCCTGTGTTTCCAGTCTTTGTGCTAAGCTAAGCTCGCTGACTGCTGCCTGTAGCTACAGATTTACCATACAGACATAACAGTGGTATCAGTCTTCTCATCTAAATCTTATGGGAAAGAAAGCCAATAAATATATTTTACAACATTTCAAACAAATCTTTAATTCTTCATGTTTTTTGCTAAGAAATTTTATTAACCAATAAGTTGTTTTTTTCTTCTTTCACTCACAATATTACTTATTTCTCTGCTTCCATTCTCACACTTAAAATGCTCAGTCAAAATTCCCTCAGTGTCTGTGGCGAATCCAACAAGCAACCAGCGTACAGTTACATTAGTCATCTAATAACCGTGCTTATCAATCAACTCTCTTTTTGACTTTTGAAAATAGACTTCTCTTCCTGTTTTACCAGGTTATTTCAAAACCCATTGCGCGGAAAAAGAATCCCAGTGCTGTGTCCGATAAGGTTGGTTCATAAAGCTGTTAGATAAATGTGGATATCTTTTCTAAATGCATGCAACCTGTCAGTCTGATCCTAACTCAGATAGTGACTTTCCTTTGTGTGAATCTATTTTTTGCGTAGGGAAAGATGCATGTGAATGAGTATCCTCGCTATTTAGCTGTATAAAAAATGTCAACACCACCTCCACATTTAGTCATCGTTGAGAGGTACTCATGGCGCTCTAACATAACATAGCTCACAAGAACATTCAAAAGAAATAGAGCAGTCGACTGTTGCCTGAGTTGTTAGATGTATTTTAGTACAATTGCAGGTTGCAACCCCTTCTTCATTTCAGTACATCTAACATTTAGCTTATTTGTTCGGCCAGGTACAAATCAAAGCATGACTGCATTGTATTTCTGTACATACTCTAAAACATGCTGAAACAAAACAAAAGTATAATTTTTGTGAAGCAGTGGACTATGTTTTTTTCTGTTTCAATGATTTTAATCTGGGTGTATTCGTTCAGTACCAGGAATTAACAATGCATCACTCACAAAACGTAAGAATCGTGAACTGATTAAGATTCAACCCAGGTGAATTTATGGCAGCCAGATGAAATTAGAATTTTAGTCAAATGCCCCCGCAAGATTTCAAAAAGCGTTCTTTATTGTCTCACTGTTGCATGACCTTATCTTAATATACCCATACATGCAACTATATTAAGGTTATACCAAAATATATAACAAATGCAATCGACTAGGGACACTGAGGTGAATGAGCTGAAAACAACATACCCACTACACATTTTCCCTGAGATTGTTTCATTCCTCTACAAATAAATCTTCCTGGTGTCAAAATAATATGAAAAAATGGAAAAGATATTCTTGACATGGGTGCTTTAATGTCATTTTATTTTTCAGCAAGACTTGAAAATGCGCTCTTTTTCGGATCCGTCCTCAAATGCTCTGGATAATGACACTGAAAAACCAAAGGTGAAACATCTTGACTTGATAACGATTCTTTATGAGATATTAGTTTGGGTGTTTGGTGACTTTTGGTTGCATACAGTTTTTCATATTGCTTTCTGATGGGCCTGCAGGTTGAAGGTCATTCCAGAAGACGGGCATCAGAGCCTGTGAATCCAATCTATGACTATCCGAAATCCTACATCATTCACACACAAGTAGGGCTGCAATCATTTTCAAAACGATATTTTTCAGTTTGTTTATTTTCTGTATAAAATGTCAGAAAATAGAGAAAAATGCATCTAACTTAGCTTCTGAACTTTGATGTACTGTAACTAGTGATAGTTGTAATTTTCTGCCCTTTTTTTCTTCATAAATCATGTGAAAAAGCTGGGGGGAAATGGTGCGCCACGTCCCAAAAGCTTGGATTCAATGTGAGTGTTTCTGAATTCACATTCATCACTAGCTGTACTTTGTATATTTTTGTTCAAGTGACACACACAGTGCTACAAAATTTCATATTAATCTTGTTTTTGTCCGTAGATATGAAACGATGCTTCAAGTAAAACATAACGAAGAGGCGGTTCAGTCAATGTAAGTGTGATTCATAGTGACAGATCACAACAAAAAAACATTTTTCCTAATAATAATGATAAAAGATTGTTGATTATTGTTGAAATGCAATTAATTGTGCCACATGCTTCTAGGGACCAAGAGGTTGAGGAGGCTACCAGTGGCACCCTGATGAGATCTGTCACTCAGATCTATGACAAGATGAAGATCCATGCTTCCCCACTCCCTGCGTTCGATGAGGAGACCGCATCTGAAAACAGGTAACTCTTGTAGTTACTTTTTTGTTGTCCACGTGTGTATTTTTGACTTTTGACTTTGTCTTTGGTGTCAGTGCCCTATGCTCTTTGTACAACATGTTTTGTCAGTGCCCTAGATACCAAAATAGCTCACTCATCAGGGGTAACCACAGCCTCAGCCCTAACCCTCGTTGGCTCAAACACTGAGACTGACAACAATGAGGGTGTTATTTTTACAGCGTAATACTGTTGACACTCCGGGACCAGTAAGGAATCTAAGAAAGGCAGCACCTCAGAGCCTGTTTAGCAACTTATGCGCTTGACTAGATGAGACATATCTTTTCATCTTGTGAAAGAGGTTCTACCTGACAGAGATGGCAGTGATCATCTTTACAGATTTATGTACAAGTGAGCCATGAAAATGCATGCATGATACAGATTTTTCAGACCTTGTATAAGCTGAACAGGTCAGGTGTGACCGATCGACATCTTCCGCACGTTAGCTGTTTATTATTGTCAGATCCTTAATAAGCTACATTGCTTGTGGCGGGCAAGTTTGACTGCACTGTAACGTGTGCTATGTTATGTTAAGCCACAATTATAGGATAATGCTAACTGCTAAAATGTTGTGTAACAGCAAAACAAGTGAGGCAGAGTAAAGCAACAATATCTCTGATCACTCTAGCAAACATTAGTTTATATTAACCAGAAGCTACTTGTCAAGTGAGGCTGTAGATGGAAAATCCCTGTGTGGAGTGAGCTGAAAAAGGGTGTGTTTAATTGCTACAGTATGAATCAACTCTTCATTTGTAAGAGAAATCCTGTTCTATTTCCTCTTTCAAAACTTACATTGTCTTTAAACAAAACACTGCACACGTCTGAGTAACTACTTGTGATTGAACGCTAAAAATAAAATAAAGAAACGCCCCTTTTGAAGCATACCCAGCACACATTTTCATAACCGTATCAAATTCAAATCATTGATGATTATCCTGTTCTTGGAAGCTTGGAAGAGGTTTGCCATCAGCAAGTCTGTAATGCCCTTATAATGCTGCGTGTGAATCCAACTTTGATTCATGTAGCATGTCAGACCTGCTTTTTTTCTACAGCGAGGTAGCTTTGACTTCTTTGTTTACCAAGACCATTTTGTTAATCACCAGTACAGCAGGCGGTAAATTAAAATCGTCCACATTGTTCATGCCTCTTCCAGCTGTTCCATGCCATCAACTCCTGTATAAAAATACACTTTTTCTGCTGTTTGTTTTCCTAAATTTGCTATAATACGGAGCTGTGTGATAATTCTGCCTCTCACACTGATGTCAGATTTCTTTCTAAGTGGCCAACCGCTGTGCTGCCACACTGGAGAACATCTTCTCTTCTACATTTGGCATATGGGTCAAAAGGCTTGTCTCTAAAGCGCCTCTTAATTAGAATTCCTCTTGTGCCTCTGCAGTGATTTGGGAATTATTTGCTTCTCCCATGCTGCTTTTATGAACTATTTTTAAAAAGAAAATCTCAAGACATCTGGTCCCCTTTCTGTATAACTGAGAGAAACCTTTGGCTTTTAGAGCGTACAATGCTCTTTTACCCACGATCAACCATTTCTTCTTCCTTTTATTGACGTTATTTTCTGGCACAAGGGCGATTGTGGACTTGTGTCCATCCAAGGCTTCTAATACGGCGCCAAAATATGTTGTTATGCTGTCTGCCTGTGGGTCACCCCCCTCCATAGTGCATGCAGATTCAGATGGTGTTCTTCCTCTGCGTCATTTTGTACTCAACATGAAGCGTTGGCCTTGGCTCCTGCTACATGAGAGCCTTGTTGTGTTTTATTCCCACTGTCTCTCAAAGCTGTCTTTTGTCTGATGTCAACGGGGAATCAGTGACTGGTAGCTGAATGTAACAGAAACATGTACAGAGATCTGATGTTATATTCCCTCATGCTGTTGTTTGCTTTTGCAGAGAGGAAAGGCGTATGACTTCAGACTTGAGCAGCAGCTCCAGTGACAACGGTGCCATCTCTCCTGTAGAGATGCTGGAGAGAACAAATGTGCACACACTGGATAAACAAAGCTCTACTGAAAGGTAATAGACCCTGAATGCAGAAACGTAACTAGTAATAAAATAAACATAACATACACGGAATAGAGATGTTTTGTGTGGAATGAGATGAGCATCATTCAACAGTTGCTCTACTTTTAAATAGTACAGACATTTGAACCCCTCTTGTGCTGTTGCCAATTAAAAAGTAATAAACAGCTTTGTAATGGTTACAGAGAGCTAAAATAAAAGAAGATATCGTCACGTTTAAGGTGACTCAGTGAAATAAATAACCAGACAGGACTGCTGGGAACAACAGTGACATGTTGCTGGACTGGTTCGAGTGGTTTCTGAAGGTTTCTAGCAGCAGACGGTGGTATGATGATAGCTGAATAATAATGAGCAGTACTGACATTAAACATTAGTAAATCAGGTGATTTTGCCACCAGAATGTAAATGGGTTTCAAAGGTTTCTGTTTTATTTTTTCCTCATTAGTTGGCATTTCACGTCTTTAAATCAAGCAGTTGGTTTGCCACCTTTTTACCAATTATTTTATCAAAGATTTACTGAATTGACTATGCAACCCAAACAGTAACTTAAAGGAAGAATATTTCTTCTCTTGCAATTCTTACAAGTGAACCATTTTAATTCCATTAATTTATTTATATAATTCTCCAATATATACAGTACCATTAAATAAAGCTTTTTTTTGTCTTGTTTTTCTTCAAGCCTCGACACCCTCACCTCAGAGGAGAGAGAATTTGAGATCAAGCAGGCAGATCTGAAAAAACACCTGACATTAACAGAAGTGGACGGGAAACCAATGTAAGTTTCATTGTTCAGTTTCTCAGATATTGGACTGCTTTGATCGAGATATTTAGAAAGGCTAAACCAGATTCACTGCAGGTTTGTCTTCATCCCGTAAAGGACAGATTCCCATTACTTTAAAACACTGTTCACATCAGGAAATGTTGACCAGCAATGCTGCACGTCCTTATTTGCTCTTTTTGCAGTTGAGGAAAGTCAGACTTAATGCTGCATGAGCTGTTTGTTTATTTATCTGTGGTGGATGATTCTGAGCATTCAGCGGTATAGTTTGGACACTGCAGCACATATTAATACTTAGACTTAGTACATGCTCTTTGCATTTATTGGTTTAATTACACAAGATGTGGAAAAAACACACTGGTTTACTTCTTAGCCGCTTTGTTACAAAGCACACACCATTTTTTCCCATGTCAGGGTCAGTTAGGTTCTTCTAAACTCTGTTTTATTATTATCTTGGTTGAGTTTTCATGTCAAGCCGAGCTTACAGTAATTTGGTCCAGATTTAACTTTTTGAAGTATCAGTAACTGTAGATCTGGATCATAATACAATGTCTACACATGCTGTGCAGTGAAGGCAGCATACAAGCAGAGCAGCAGTAGTCAGTGTCTACAGAGGATGCTTTCAGGCACTGTACTGAGTATGGGTCACCCAATGCACAATCATTGTAGTTACATATGTAAAATATGAAAATAGACTTATTAAAATATACTTATAATACACATATGCTACTGTGCCTTGTCGTTCTGTATCTAGTGCGAAGTAAAAAGACTTTTGGTCTTGAAGACATTTTGCAATTCATCTTTCACCAGTAGAACTGATAAAGTCTCCTGGTTTAGTGAACCAAGTCCCAGTTGCCTCTCTCAATACATCATGGGACCTGGACGACTGAGACTGTCTTTATAGACATTACACCAAATCCATATTAGAGGCAAAATCAAGCCTGTATGTATGGATGTAAAAATATAATATAAAAAAGCATAAAAATAAATGACAAACACTGTGTGAATTAGAGCCAAAAGAGTAGATCTAAAAAAGCCGAATGTGTTTGTATGTGTCAGCGTGTCTGGATGGACAGGCCAACCGCAGTCAGTGTGCCTGTTTCACAAAGGAGACCAGATTCTGGCAATTAATGACCTGCACACCAGCAGCGTGGATGAGTTCAACATGTACCTCAGCAAGTCTCTCAAGAATGAGGTACGTCCACATTGTCAGTGTCGATGATACTGTTGCTTGCATGCGTCAATGAACGTGTGAATAGAGATAAATTATCTCTCTTTTCAGGTGAAAGTGACCATCCTGCGTCTATCTGGATGCCCACCTCTGCATTTGCCAAACATCTACTGCAGCAACTGACTGCAAACTCAGAGACAATACTTCCACTGTATGTCTGGGTGTGTTTGAATGACTCTCTGAACCACTTCCTTTCTGTGAATGGTGGGTTTGTACCATGAATTTACCACTTTAGATAACTGACAGTATTTTCCCATGGCTGTGGGCAGTACGTCTTGATCTGTCACTCTACCTAAATATCTAGAAGAGCTTAAAGTGTTGGAAAAAGGATAAAAATGAAGGATGTTTAAATTAATCTTGCACACATTATATACACAAAAGATCAAAAGCATTTTAGTTGCCAAGCACTCTTTGTGCAAACAATGACTTGCAGTTTTAACAGAGCATGATTCATGATATTTTTAGTTCATTGTGTACTGTGTTTACTGTAGATAAGATGTTGTAAGCAGAAGGAAACAAAAGGAAAATGTTTTACCTAAACGTATTTCCTCATACTGCCTGTATGAGGATAAATTGAAATTGTGCAAGGCATGTAGTGTAAAAATTGTGAAATACGCACAACGTTACTGTATATAGACCTACTATTAAACAACTTTATTTTTACACTAAACTATACTAATAATCTAAATGTTTCTACACTTTAAAACGCACATAAGATACTGTAGAACTAACAACAAAGATTTCTGGTGGAGTTTTTCTCTGGATCTAATGTGATTTCTGTAACAACCTTATTTTTAATAATCAACTTTAAGATGATTAGATGATAGGTAGAAAGTGTTCCTAAGTGGTTTTAGGAAAACGAAGATGATGTTGGGCATAAGACAGGACGCTCTGAATCAACATTTTTAATTCCAATGAAAAGAATGAAAAGATATCCAATGTTTCCATAGATATTCAAACTCCATTTCTGTCTTAGGACTTGAGCGAGAACTGAGTTGCACAACTATTGTGAATGTCATCACTCAGCAATGCTGATTCATTTCCAGCTAGCTCAGTGTGCGGGATCTATGATGACATTTCTTTGTAAGCTATGCCTGTCTAATGACGTCTTCTTGTCACAAAAGATCACAAAAAGAAGGGTGCACTGTATGTTAAAATGTGTTTGGATTCATTAAAAGAAGGCAGACATAGATCTAAATTTAAACTGTCCTTTTCTTATTTATATCCAGAAGGCTTTGGCAGAAATTAGGAGTAGATGAATAACAAAAAGATTCACGAAGAGACGAGTATTTAAAGTTGTCCACACCTCAGGGAAGTCTGGTGAATTAATATGCCGACAGAATGGTGTTACACCTCAGGCTGTTTCACTCATTTCTCTCTGATTTGAAGCAGAAATGGTGACTCATACACTACATTGCTGAAATGTAGTTTTATTGTAACTTGGGAAGAAGGTTTTAATCCATTTAAAATGATGTCTGCTGACCAGTGCCACTCCCAAACAAAGACAAAATGCTTTTTTTTATTTTATTTTGTCCACTGACCAATGTCCATAAAGGGCAAGGAAACGCGTGTCTCTAATCTCTGAACATCAAATGATATCTGACATTGTTAATATTCACACAAGTCCTTTTCCAACCACATCATATCAGCCTTTCCGAGTTCTGACAAAGAAATTATTCAGGACATCTATTTTTTAAGGCCACTCTTCAACTGTGATGCTCAAGCTGTGCTGTATTGTAAATACGCTCTATTATATATGAATATCTTTCACAAGGGTGCAGCAAATGCAGGTTGTACTGAGACAATGAATCTGTGTTTAAATTTGTGAAATGATTATGAATAAACTTTTTCCAGATTGTTAAAACAATGACCATTTGTATTTAACAGCCTTATTTTTGTACTGAAGAATGTGAAGTACACAGCATATAAAACAGCAGGCTGCAGAGTTCACGCAGCAACCTTACGTATATCATTTATTGGAATCATTACTAAAATTAAGCAATATCATTATTTCCACCTGATTTACTTTCACAATGTACTGATAATTAAGTTTAAGCTTCTTATTTGAACCAAACTCCAGCTTCATGTTGGCATTGTCCAGTTAAATACGACACCTGAAGGCATTCTTACAGCGTTTTTGACCAGTTTCATGTAACCTCTTGTAAACTATTTGTTTTTCAAGGATTATCAGTAGTCTGTTGTATTTACTGAAGCATAAAGATTATTATTATACAAGATTATACTATATTTTCTGTTGCTCTAACAAGCTCTTTCTGTTGTACACTGACAGAATCCTCATTATCTTTAAAAATCAGACACCAGGGCACCCGGTTAGAGCTCTGTGGGTAGAGCTGGCGACCCATGTACCGAGGCTGAGTCCTTGCTGCAGCGGCCTAGGGTTCGAATCCAACCTGCGGCCCTTTGCTGTGTGTCATCCCCTCTCTCTGCACCCCTTTCCTGTCTATCTTCAGCTGTCACTATAATAATGGCAATAAAAAGCCCCCCAAAAAAAAAAAAACTTTAAAAAAAAAATAAAATCAGACACCGATAAGGCATACCTACTGTTCTGTGACTGAAATAGACATTTCAACAAACATCCCAGTCAATCAGGTTTCAGTTTGGCAAGACTTCATACATATAATTCATGCCCGAGGGAAGAATACGATACGCCATTATTAGAAATGGCGCACTGGAAATGGTTTGCTCTGGGTGCAAATAGTAATAAAGTGGTTATTACATAAGTCAACTTGTGAAGTGGGTGAAGAGCATGATGATTTAAAATAGGAAAAGAGGCAAGAGGTGTAATTAGATGCCGTGAGACGTTTTTAAAGCAGAGATTTCCAGATCAGCTAGCTATGCTAAGAATTACGCACTCATAACAAGTGATTCAGGGTTCATAAATATGCCAGGCAGCTCTTATGGTCCTCTTATGCAGGTGTTAATGTGAAAATATTTTCGGTGTTTAGAATCTAGAGCGTATGGTTTTCCTCACTCTGGTCTCTGAGATTTAACAAACAACAGCTCAGGCAGATGGGGTGAGGTGAAGTTGTCCTACATGAAAAAAGAGAAATCATGCAGAGAAAAGCCGGTTTTACAAAGAATGAGATTCAGCTCTATCTCTGTACCACGCGTCTCTGCCGTCTCAGAGATAAACTACTGAAAAACCTGAAAGCACTCTCTTTAAGACAAGATTGCATTTTCAAAGCCACTATGCAACAGTGGCAGTCCTCTAACATTATATTAGCCCGTAGAGGCATTGATGGGGTTGCACAAATACATACTGTAGTGAAAATCCAGATATTGTCCTAAAGTGAAGAGAAAATAATAAAGCTCATCTTGAATTTCATGCACAATGATTTTTCTTGACATGACAAGAAAATAAATGTTCATGTTGCAAGAAAGTGTTAAACAATGTTTAAAAACATTTATTTTTTTAACCTTAACATTTAGATCACATAGAAAAATATACAGATAATTAAAAAAATTGCACAATTTCAAAGCAGCACTTGCAGTATATTGTTGGCAAACAATGTGGAAACAGTGGGAGTGGCCGTGGCCAGTAACCACATCCAATTAATTCAGTTCCGATGTATAATACTTTTGGATGGCACAGGTCTGATACAAGTGGGACCTCAGGTCACATTTACACAAAACAGCTTCCAGAGTTGTCAGTTATTTTAGTTCAGTCCATTGTGAATAAAAGCAGAACCTTGATAGTAAATTGATTCAAGAGCATATACTTGACCTTTTTTTAAAATCATGGATGCATTTCATGTTCACCTACTTCACCACAACCCCCCTCGCTCTTACAGTAAAACTTAAGTGAAAGTAATAAAATGAGTAGTGTTCAAATTTTTTTGTTCCCCGTGGCCATTCGGCATTCGAAGCATTGAGAATTAATTGGTTTTGCTCTTATAACCAACAAGCTCCAGAAAGGCCGGCTGCAAAAGCACCGTTTACCAATAGTTACAGTTTAGCTTTAGTTTCCATGAGCCACTCCCTAAAGGACCTCTCCATAGCCTTCCTGCTAGCCCAGCTGCCGTTGTTGACTGTAGGGATGATCTTGAGGGGCTGGAGCCACTGGACGAAACGCTTCATCTCCAGGAAGCTGCTGTGTTCGCTGTATGGGATTCCTGAAAACAAGAACACAGAAGGGTTCGTCATCATCACGACTTATCAGACTGCAGATCACCCACGCTTTGTTTTTCCTGACAGGGTTATTTCCAGGGGTGGGTTGTAATTATCTTAGATTTCTATTTGTTAAGGAGACAAGTCCTGTAGAGAAAAAGGCCAGCAGTGGTTTCGAACTGAACCAGAGTGACTTTCAGACGTTATTTTCACTTTCAAAATCAGCTCGTTCACTTTGATATTTTTCCTTTCCAGTTTCTTCATAACAAACACAAAGCTCAGTTTGGTTTGAAGTAAAAACTTGTCACGGAACCAGATGTCTAAAAGTATGGGGAAGTCAATCAGACAAGCAACAGGGGAAAGTCTTACAAGAGGGACCAGATGCTTAACAAAGCCACAGGCAGATTTCAGATGCTGAAACATTGAAACCGTCATATGATTCATTTCTTTTGTTTTCGAGGAGAGAATAAGACGACATCTTGGGACTGCTGCAAAAAAGCTGCTGCCTCTTGTTTGTCCTCCCTTCGCCCCTCCACAGGTTTGATGTGCTCCGCTGCTTTAAACAGATATAGGTGAAACTAAGCCTACTCAAGTATACAGTCAATCTTCCCACATGTGGAGAACAATATTAGGAGCAGTAGTAGCATATGGCTGGGAAGAACAAGGAGGAGGTGACCCACACAAGGCAGAGAGAGAGAGAGAGAGAGAGAGAGAGAGAGAGAGAGAGAGAGAGAGAGAGAGAGAGAGAGAGAGAGAGAGAGAGAGAGAGAGAAAATTGGCTTCTGCCTGACTGACACACAAACTGCTGAGGAGGAAGAAATTATATGCAAGTGTGCATCGCAAAAGCCTCTAGCTGGTGATTGTAGGTTACAGGCCAGATGGCTGATGCTGTTGATGGATCTATTAAGAACATGGAACAGCGGACAGGAAGAAAAAAACTGGCTAAATTTGCAGCGGCAAATCAAGTCATGACCCATTTCAACACTGGGGTTTAACGCCTGGCTACTGTCCAGCAGTGCTGTCCAAGATACGGCTTTCTCTTGATTATATTCCCTCTTGTCACCAAGCTGAAGTAACTGAGCTGTGATCTATTGTTTATTCTCACACTTCCGTCCGACTCTTCTTCCTCCTCCTCCTCCTCCTCCTCCTCCTCCTCCTCCTCTCTTTGCCAAAAGAGGGAGCTGTAGGCTAAATACAACAATGTGAGGAGCGTTCACGTTTTTGGCAGGAGAAAAATGCTGCTGTTGTAATTAAGTCTTAGCAACGTGTGGCAGGATGACAAGGTTATTTACCATAATAAGGTTCTGCTTTTGGTAGGTAAAAGACAGGAGGGCATTAAAAGCTTCAATACCTCTGACCTTGCAGAAGAATCTAAATACTAAGAAACAGCAGTAACATTTACGAATGAAAAACATCTTTTTTGTTGGCCTCATAGCAAAGTATTCAGTTAATACTCTCATGCAAATGTATGTTATTCCTCCTGACAATAACAAAAAAAGAATATTAGTGCATACCATAGATGGAGATATTGCCACTGATCTGAGGCTGAATATCCTCCACCGATTCCACCTGCTGGCTAAAGGTCCAGCCTGTAGGCTTGAAGGCCACCAGCTGATCATACTGCCTTGAAAAGCGTGCCAGGTAATCCTGCAGTTTCTAAAGACGAGATGAGGAGGTTGACAAGGAGATGCAGAAGAGAGAAAGGAAATGCCGTATGTGAGCATGATCTCAGAGAACTCATCACATGCTGATTAACTGAAATGCGTCAATTAAATCACTTTTGCTAGAAAACATACAAAGCTCTCTTCCAAAACATATACAGATAACACATGTTTGTGCAGTTTTTGTGCTCCTAAGATTTGACCGTTTAAGAGCAGCACTAGGAAGAATCATCCTCAGATATCGACTACCTGGACCCTAGCTACCCTCCAAACATGAAAAACAAGTTACTCATTTACATTAACCTTGTGTCAGCTGATATAAACAAACCTGCATAGGAGGTTATTCCCAATTTACTATAAAATGAATGCAAACATTTAACTTAAAATGTGTTCTTAGACAGTTTTATCTACACATTTATTTCAAGGTGACATTCAAGGCAATTTCCAAGTTGTTGTAGCTCTTCTTGATAAAAACTACTCAGAGATTCACTACACAAACATCTCATTGCAAACCTAAACCGCATTTATTTCCCCCAAGTCAGCCTTTCTGTGCCTAGTGATGCCTGAATTATACCAACTCTGGGACTTATCTGTAGTTATACAGATGGCACATTAAAATGCTTTTCCTTTTGGAAAGATGATGTGTTTGGTCATCATAATTAGCATTTCCTAATTATTTTTACTCCTGTCCTAGGTACTTGCATATGAATAGACCGTAAGCAGAATAAAAGACGGATGCACATCAAAATAAAGTGTCCAGAAATAATCAAAAACAGCAGACCATTTGAGAAATAGTGTATAGCTATAGTTTTATTCCCCTTCAACTTATCCAAATGCATGGACTTATATGCAGTGAATAAATAGAGTCTGATGTGATACATTTGCTGGTTGTTTTACTCCAAATAAGTGATGTACTTTATAGAATAGAACCCTAAAATAGAACATTTTTTATATTCCTGACGCCCCAGAGTCCCAGCCTAATATCAGTTAAAATGGATGTTTCAATGGAAAATGAGACTGCTGCACCTACTTTAAAGGAGAGCTGCATCATGGGAAGCACGTGGACCTGGGCTGCCTTCCA